TTTCAGATAATCAAAATATTGGAGAATATGGCCCAGCAAAATATTTAAATCCAGAATTAATTCAAAATTTAATATTTTCTGAGGAGAATGAAGAAAGTAATTATAATTATGAAATATTTGAATTAATTGAATTAAATAAAGAAAATGATAAAAATATAAACGAAATAATTAAAAAATTAAAAAATATATTAAAGAACTGGGCAGAAATATTTGAAGCTGATTATGAATTTTTGATTGGGGGATCTTTAATGTTGGAAGTAAATACAAAAAATTCTGATATTGACGCTATTTATGTTGTTAGAAAGAATACTGAATATTTTTGGGATGAAGAAAGAGAAGAAAATAATGATGGAACAAAAAAATTAAAAAGTAGAGCTACACAATTTTTTGGACGTTTATCTTCAAAATGTTTAGATAATAAAGAGAAAAATTGTTCTGATCAGTCTTTTTACTGTTATTTATGTTTACAGGTAAAATATAAATTTAAATAATATAGTGATAAAGCGATATAGTACTTAATTGTATGTATGCATAGTTATTAGATATTTTACAAGATTTATGGTTGGGTTGAAATATGAACTATAAATCTAAATATAAGTCTGACTCTTGTCCAGTTGTGTTTGATCGGATGTTCTTGTTCGGGATTTTTTGAAAAGTTCCAGTCCGGATGCGATTAAACCTAACTTACAGCCAGACAGGAAAATAAACGGTTAAATATTAAACTGGAACATAAAACTTAGATTTTAATCCCCAAACCTAGCTTGCTAAGAAAGGTCTATTGATGAAATCAAGCCTCCGTTCAATCTATCAATTTATAAATAAAAAACAATAATAAACATATCTACTAATTAAAATTTAGGATAAAGTTAGTAATCTAAAAAGAATTACTGAAATACGTGTTCCTTTATTGAAATTTAAATTTTATGGAATTGATATAGACATTAGTTATGTACAAATTCCTGAAGAGATAAAAAATAATGAAAATTGGATGGATAAAGCTTTAAATAATGCAGAAAATAATAGTTTAGGAAGAGTTTTTCCCTTATCTGGTTATAAATCGAATTTAATTATTAAAGAATTATTACCAAAAGAAGAGGAAAAAATAAAAATATATCGTTCGGCATTAATTTTATTAAAAATTTGGGCAGAAAGTAAAATACCTAATTTAGTAGAAAAATATTTTATTTTTTAAAAATTTATAGATAATTCTATTTATGGAAATCAATTTGGATTTTTGAGTGGTACTTCTATGTTAATTATGTTAACTAAAATTTATTTATTATATCCAAATACTTGTTCTGTTTTGGTTATAGTAGATAGATTCTTTCTTACATTTTTGACATGGTTAGTTTGGATAACTTTAATTTTTAAAGCAAAATTATTTATAAAGTAATCAAATTTAATTAAATATTTAAGTTTTAATTAGGTAATTATTTAAAAATAAACATTTGACTTTGATTACATATAGTGTCTGAAAAAGGATCGGTACAATAATATCTAAAGTGTTATTATAATTAGGGGCACAATAAGGAATTGTAAATCATCAAGAAAAATAAGTAGAGAGGATTTTTATGCATTAAAAAATGCGAAATATGCACTATAATATTCATAAAAATACCGAAATATACAAATATGAAAACATACAAAAAATGCAATTTACTCCTAAAAATTTAAAGTTATTTTTATTCAAAACAAAAAAAAACTTTTTTGCTAAAATTAAAAATCCTGTCTCTAAAGATAAGTATAGAAACAATTTTAATTTTTTAAGGAATTGGCCTAGACCTTTTTTTATTGATACAATAGATGGCAAGTTAACCCACAGTTGGAAAATTGATACAGAATTATTTGCAAGAAAGCGAACATTTCTAGATCAACAAGGAATTAAAGAAGATTGGGAAGATGTTGATAAAAAGGATAAAAAATATATAAAAAAGAAAAAAGAAAAATTAAAAGAAAATGAAAATGAAAATATTGAGAGATTAAAAAAACATTCAAAATTAATAATGCCAGTATTAACACCTGCATATCCACAACAGTCAAGTGCTTTTAATGTTAATTATTCAACAATGAAAATAATTAAACAAACAATTATTGAAGGTTAATATTTTGAAATCTAGGATCCTGGGATAAGAACTAACCCTCGATAATAATGTAAAGCATATAGCTATTTATTTTCTAAGGCTATGCAGTAGACCCCGTGGTGTAATGGAAACACATCAGTCCGGTCTACTGAAGATTCTGGTTCGCCCCCAGCCGATGACTAACCTTTTGCACTAGCTAAAAGAGAGCAATAGCTATAGCACAGCTGATTTACTATAACTTCTAATTACCTATAATTACTCGTTAATTTATGCTTGAATTTACTTAGACTCTACTTTAGTGTTTAAATAATAGCCTTGGTTTCTAGCATTGACTCCCTGATAATGATAAATTGCCAAAAATCTGGATTTTATTTTTGGGTCGGGAATCCTGATTCCAATTTCTACAGCAACTTTAATTTCTTTATAGGTTTTAAAGGAATAAGACAAATTCGTCGCCAATCATCCACCAATTTTAACAAAGGACTGAAACAATGGATTAACGGAGCTAATTTTGTTGATAAAGTACCTAATTTATATTTTTAATTTAAAAATTATTTTTCTTTTCAAAGTACAATCATTTTGTAACAATTATTTGTGTTGGAATTGATAAAAATATTGGAGAAGATTTTTGTAATTTTGTAAAAAATCGAATTAGAGTTGAATTAGTTTTGTCATTGGAAGCATATCCAAAATTAGAATATTCACATATTTCACCAAATAAATCAAAAAAAGGAAAATGTGAAAAAAGATTAATTGCCGGGGAAAAATTCAAAGATTTTGGGTAATTAATAAATAATTAATTTTAATTTTAAATTAAATTTAAAGGGAGGACAGTTGGTGTAAACAATGGATTGTTGGTTTAAATATGCCCAAATTATTTAATTATTCAGAAGAAAAAGCATCCTTAAATTATTATTTTTTAAAGTTTAGTGAAAAAATAGAAAAAAAATATTTAAAGGTAAAAATAAAAATAATTTTTAATTTAAAAATTTAATTTTATTCAGCTTAGAAAAATTGATAATGTAGCTCTTCATTTACGTTATACTGATATTCACGAAGCTAAGAAGTTTTGGAGAGATAATTAATGAGAGTTTATGAGTAGTATTATAAGTATCCCTACCCTTTTGTCTCTTTTTTGTCTCACCACAATTAATTAAACCTTTGAGGGGTGTATTCCTTTTGATCTAACTGCAAACCCGTCACTATGGGACGGGTTTGTGATTATTTCAAGAAATTTTGTCTCAAAGGGACGGGTTTAATTAATTGCGGTGAGACAAAAAAGAGACAAAGTAGTAGTACTATTTTTATGAAAATTGTTTTTATTTAAATGCTTTATAGATTTAACCCCACCCACGTATTTCCTGAAATAAAAAACCATTACTATCAGAGCCCCGCCATAATTAAACTCCATAAACTAAATTTTCCAAATTTTCCAACTTTTCCAAATTTTCCAACAATTTTCCAACGCAAAGCCATAAGGCTTTGCGTTGTTATGGCCGCGCGTTGTTTTGCGCTGTAAGCATTTATTATTTCAGGAAATACGATATGACTATTATTTATCTAAATTAACTACACCTTGGTTCCTTTAGATATTTTTTAGAAATGAGGAAATCTGATCATTATGTGTGCCTTTTGAGGAAAGTAAAGAAGGATACAATACATAATTACCTCAATCTTATACATATTTTTATTCATTTTTAAATTAAGTTGAAATTTTTTACAATTTTTCATTGATAAAACATTTTTCTATACATACTATCAATCAGTATCATTTTACTAACCAAGATACCTCTCTGCGTTATTTTGCATAATATTTATAAATTTTATGCACAAGCGCCTCGCTGATGCCTATAGGTTTACGTTGTTTGTTTTTTCCGAAAATTTTGAATTCACGAGCCAAAAATCGTCGAGAATTCGGGAATTTTGCTTTTTATGTGGGGGAATAGAAGTAATTACGAGGGGTTAAATGTACGAGAGGTTCTTAATTCATTAAGGGGTATTTAAGCGATATAAGTTTATCAAGGATAAAGAGATTTGAGGTAATAAAGATTTTTCTTCTTTTTTTTCTTCTTATCCCTGATCTGGACCTCGAAGTCTGGAAAGATAACTAGCTTAGGAAATATGAAAAAAGATAAAAGGGATATGGAATGATATCGTGGGATTAAGGAGGATTTGGAGTTATCTCTCTAAACCTTTCGATATCCTCATAATTATTCCTTTTTTTAGCGCCGCAGGCGAATAATTTTGAGAATTTTGGAAGGCCAAGGAGCCAGATTTCTTCCTTTTCCTGCGCCGCAGGCGAAAATTTTGTGAAAAGTAAAAAAGGGGCAATGTTGAAAAACCACTTAACCACATTTTACTTTGCACTTGTCTCATGTCCAATTGTCCTTTGTCATTAATGCTAACAAATATTTTATTTTAATATTTATTTCCTTAAAATTTTTAAGATAATTTAAAAAATGGGTACATTTACAATTAGCTATTTTCTCCGCAAATATTTTATTGAACGGCCAAAATGGCACTATCCTGTTTTCTTTGGTGCTTGTTATATCGGTTATTTTTTGGAATAAATTTACTTTTAATTTTTATTTAAAATTTAGGTTATCGCTATGCAATTTTTAAACGTCATCATCATTTAGCTTCAATGAAAGGACATACTAGAATGTACAAAAGTCGTAGAGAAGAAATTCTTCGTTGGGATCCACATGTCGATATTTGGACTTATTAAAGAATTTTTTTGAATTTTGTGGAGATTTTTTGGTAATTGTTAGGTATAAAATTTGATTTTTTAATGTAAAAATATTTTTGTTATGGATTTTTGAATTAAAAAATTTTATTTGTTTTTCTTTTGTAATTGTTTTTTCACTTTTTATTTATCAATTTTAAAAGCATTTTTATTTAAATTTTTTTTTGATTTAAATGTTGAAGAGGTGTGTGCTCGAACATAAATTCATTCTGCTGGCTTTTTCTCGATTGAACAGAAAACAACAAAATAGGGTTAGTCTTTAAATTTTTTATTTAGGTATGGTTTAGAATTTCTTTTAAAAAATAATTTCCTATCGGTTGATGATTTACAAATTAATAAATTATTCATTTAATATTTTATTGATTTTTTCCTGGAGCCGAATTTAGATTTTGAAATTTTATTCCATAAAATTTTTAAAATATTTTTTCATTTTATTTTTAGTTCTTATGGAAATTTACTCATGTTTATATGCCTGAAAGAACTCCGGATGGACTTTTACAACGTCCACCAACCGATCATCAGGATTTTACAAAGTAAGAAATTGTTTTTGTGTTTATTGTTTACACGAAATAGAAATTTTTTTGAATTCCCCCTCATTTCTTTAATTATTTTCTACTAGTAAATAATTTTTAAGGAAAGTAAAATGAATTTTCTTTAAAAAAATTTTTGTTTCAAGTTTTTTTTAATATTTTTTTAATACTAGGTTTTAGAGCTGTCCAAGACCAAAAATTTCCCAATACTCGAGATCAAGAACCCCATGACCAAAAATTAATAATTTTGGTTTTAGAACAAATTTTTTTTGTTTTGCGGGCAATATGGCACCAAAGGCGCCAAAAAACTACATTACAATACCAAGACCAAAAATCCCAAGAAAAGTTTTGAGTCAATACTAAGAGTCTTGGACAGCTCTACTAGATTGTTCAATTATTCTCTATTTTGAATATTTTTAAAAATTACTTTTTAGATATGAGGCAATTGAAGACCCACAGTATCAAGAACCAGCTCCTCCATTAAAAATGATTTTGTTAGAGGACGTTGATGGTTTATTTAAATATATTTTTATTTAAAAAACTTTCTGGTTAAGATGTTGGTGATAAGTTCGAAATTCTTGAATTGTCTGACAATTTGGCTCACAAACTCTATTTAACCAAAAAAGCAGCTTATGCTTCTCCGTTTGACTTGGAATATTTTGGGAAAAAGAAAGAGGAATTTTTGGCACAGAAAGATACTAGAATAGTTAAAATGCCTAGAGATTTGGCCAAAATAGCTTCCAAAATTTCATCTACGGTTTTTTAAATATAAAAATTAAATAATTTGATTTTAAAGATTGTGCCAATTTATGTTTCAGTTCGTAATGAATGGGTGTTAAATCCTCTGATTTTGGCTACTTCTATGGAACAACATGTATTTTAGTTTTTATTATTAAATTTTTATGCCTGAAGGGTTTGGTGGACATCCTCACTATAGTCGGTGTCAGGGGTGGGCGCAATGCGTATTGCGTTAACTTTTGGCGTTGCGTCTTGCGTTTTTTGAGATTGTCTTTTGCGCCCACCTCTGGCCGGTGTTCCGACAATTGCGGACGACAATTCCGGATTAAAAAATGCTTAAAATAATTAAAATAATATGCTGTTTTTTACTCCTGCTGTCATTTTCCGACTTGTGAAGGTTTACGAATAATTTTTAGAATAATGCAACACTGAAAACTTTAAAATATCTTAAATTCTCTTAAAATTTTATATTCGCAATCGTCGTATCCGAATTGCGTATCCATTATATCCTTCCCCTCCCCCCCCCCCTCCGAATATACCTTTGGTAAATGCAAATGACCTTAAATTTTTCAATTATTTACAAAAATAGTTTGATCGAAAAAATCCAAAAAAATTAATTTAAGGGAATTCGAATTCCAGTCAAATGTTTACATTTAGCTGGAGGAGAACCAATGAAAGGACCGGATTTAAAAGAAGATGGACGTTTAATTCGTTTTTACGCAACTGTTTGTTTTTCTTATTTTTTTAAATTTAATTAAAAAATTTTTAGATTGAAGATAAATTAATTGTTCCACTACTTGGCCGAATATTGCACGTTTCTCACGACGAAGATACAGTTTGGAATTTTTTTGCTATACCCAAATTAAATTTAAATCATTTTTAAAAATAATTTTCCAACCTAAAAATTTTTCAGAATTTATTCCCGGAAGATCAACAACTAAAAACTGCAAATAATGCCCAATTACTTCAATTTGGTTTACGACCCGAAACAATTTATTTTAATCCAAATGGACTTCAACAAATTTGTGAGAAGGAAGAAATTGGCACTTTTATGGCTAAAAGGCCTAGCAATGCTATAACTGGTGCTGAATAATTTTTTTTGTTTTTTTGTTAATAAAAATTTTTGATAGATTTGCAAAAATCTTTTTTTTATAAAATGCTATTATAAGTAAATACTCGGTACCGGACAAAATTTGTCTAACTATGTCGGTCTTATCTCTAAAACAAATTCTGTAGGACATGAAAACAAGGGGTAAGAACCTTGTTAAATTACACAGTTAAAATCCTAAAAACACCTTAGTTTTTGTCATATCCATTCTGTCCCTTGGACTAGTAAAAAAATTTTTAAACAGTTTTATATTTATTCAAAAAAAAAAATTAAACATAAGCAGATTGAATTAAAAAAAAGAAACAATTTAAATTTTATAACTGTTATTATTTAAAGCCATTTAAAAGTTGATACAAAAAAGACCCGCTTAAATCGGAGAAAATATTTTTATAAGTTTTTGTGTTATCCACAAAAGAATAAAACTAAAAATTTAATTTTAACTTGAAGAGATTCTAAGAAAATAGAGACTGGATTTTTATATGTAGATTTTTTTAAATTAATGTCCATATTTTGTTGATTTTTCGTCGATATTTAATTAGATTTTCGAGTTATTCTACTAAAGAAATCTTGTCTCTATTTAAATAAGGATTGGAAAAACGTCAAAGTAAATAATCGAGATTGGATTTGGATGTTAGTGGGGTATTTGTTAAAATTATTATTTCTATTGATATTAATCCATAGTAGAGAACAAAAATTAGGTTAATAATTTTTTGTAATTTAAAAGGTTTGAAAATATTTAGCAATCCAAGTTATTCAATTAAAATAAATTGATTGTTATTAGAGACCAGATCGAGATGAGATCTCGAACGAAAATCACGATTATCGAGATTTTTCGAGACATCTCGTACGACACTCCCAGTCCGGTCTCTAGTTATTTATGTTCTCTACTATAGAATTAGATATTCTAACAAAGTGTATATCTAAAATGATTATTTATATAACATTTAAAAATTTAAAAAAATGAGGAAGATTCGTGTTTATCTGGTCCTCCAGCAATAATAGTTTTAGTCAAATAATTTTGTAAAGGAACACCAGGAGAAGATTGATTTTGTTCATAAATTACATGTTGTTCATTATCTGCCTGTTGATGTTTTTGGGTTGTCCCAAAATCCATTGAGGGCCTCGGGGTGCTTGTTGCAGTTTGTTGATCTTCTATATCAGAAGGTGAAGGTGTTCCAAGTGTAGATGAACGCATTGAACTTGAAGCCAAACTATTGGAAGGCTAAAAAAATAAAAAGTTTTAAACTCTTAAAAGTCTGAATACTTGTTGCTGCTGTAATGGTTGATGATTTGGACTTTGTTGAAGAAATGTTTGTAATTGTGGTTGTTGGTGTTGGTATTGAGGATTGAATTGATCAACTGTATTCTCTCTCATTCCATTCCCTCCACTCGAAGAAGTATTTGTAGTTGATGGAGAATGTAGAGATGATGGAGATGTACTTCTAAATAATTAAATTTTTGTTTAAAATTATTTTAGAAATATTTTTTGAAGATATAGAATATTGTAAAGGACTAAATATTTTAGTGGGGATAGGAATTCTAAGGCTAACAAATAAGCGAATATGAAAATATTAATTAATTTCAGAATTAAATTTTTATTTTTACTAAAAATACTACCTAATATTTTTATTATTATTTTGTTGATTTTGACTTGAAGAAAATATACGAGAAGCTGGTATTTGATTTTGTATTATATTAGCATTAGAACAACGTCCTGCAAGAGTTGAATGTATAGTAGGTGCTTTTACTGAGGCATATGAAAGCATTGAACATCGTCTGTTTGAAGGTGTATTTCCTTGAGGGTTATGAATGGGTAAAGCCCCATAAATACTTGTTGTGTTGCTATGGCCAAAATGGCTAGATTCTTTAAAAAAGGAATAGTTTTTCTTAAAATATTTACTACTAACCCATCTCTAAACATTCTCTTCCATTTTCTTGTCCACCACCAACTCGTTCATTAAAACTAACACCATTACTGCTAATCCACAAGTCTGAAGATTCTGTTGGTTGTTGTTTCTTTTGTTTGTTTATTGTATCGTTTGAATTATAGGGAGGGCAATTTAATTGTTGGGGATTAATGGCAGAAATTAACTTTAAAATGAATTATTTTAATTTTAGATTTAATAGAAATTTTGATTGATAAAATAAAAATAAAATAACCAAAATCTATACAAGACTAGTACAGTCAAATCTCAATTTTAAATACCTCCAATCTTTATATGTAGTAGAGCTTCACCGGAAGTTCCGGCGTTTTTTGGTTCCGGTTCCGGGAGTCGGAACTCAAATGGAATCCGGTCAAAATATCGGTTCCGGTGAAACACTAATACATATGTAGTCACTTTTAAATACGAATATGTGGATATTTAAAAGCGTGATTCAAGAAGTAATTTCTTAATTTTTTTGTTGAATATTTTTTAAATAAAGTTCAAAAAATTCCCCTAAATAGATAATTTAAATTTTGTATATTTTTAGATAATTTTTGATTTTTTTCTTTAACAAAATAAATTCTGTTAATTAATTAAATTTAATTTCCACCTTTTGTTGTCCCCCAATAACAATTCTTCCTTTTCCCTTCTTTTCATATTTTTGCCATTTACCAGAATTTTGAATATTTCTTCCTTCATTACTACTTCTTTTATTCCCAAAACAACAAACTAATAAATTACAAAAACATCCAAAAACAAAAATAAAACAAAGAAATATGCTAATCCAAAATATTTGAATTAATTGGTTTTGTGAAATACAATTAGTTGTTGTTGTTGGAGGAGAACAGAAATTTAATGAAGAGGAGGAAGAATAAGAAGATGTTGACAAAATTGGAGACGAAATAGATGACTTTAAAAAATTAAAAAATTAATTGGGATATTAAGTAATTAATTTAGTAAAGCAGCTGGGCTATAGCTATTTCTCTCCTTTAGCTAGTGCAAAAGGTTAATCGGCAGCTGGGTGCGAACCAGCATCTTCAGTAGACCGGACTGATGTGTCAGCCATTACACCACGCCGCCTACTGCATAGCCTTATGCTACGGTTACATAAAAATCGCGCGCGACACGCGACAGTCGCTAGGCGACATGTCGCCGGCGACAGTCGCTAGTGGCGTGGTTACATAAAATCGGCGTCTTCCGCAAAAGCGACTGTCGCAAAGCGACAAACGCTGATTTTATGTAACCACGTCACTAGCGACTGTCGCGCGCGTCTTGTCGCCTAGCGATTGTCGCGTGTCGCGCGCGATTTTTATGTAACCACTAAATTATTAGTTTTTCTATCTTTTTCAACTATATTTTCTTTATTTATTTATCTCTAATTTTCACGGTGGTGAAAGTCAGAGTACTGTAATGTATAGGACAATTTGTTGCCACTATTTTATTGTGGCTTTTATATTGTGATTTTTTAGAATTTTTCCATTGATATTTCGATTAGAGGTAGGCGCGGGACAGGATC